GGGATTGTGCCATGGTCCACCTCCACTGGGCTATTTTATTGAATAGTAAGTGTGTGTGTTAGTTGGCTGAAGGAACAATCGACGTACGACGCATGGCAAACGCTGATAGTCGCCCCGGGTTTTCTCTTTTGGTATTGCACATTGAATATATTTAAAGGTTTTCTTCCTTCTTTTTTTCTTTGTTTCTTTGTGAGTTTTGCTATGCTAAGAGTGGTCTGAGAGAGATTCTTTGGGCTTTTGCTGTTTTTTTTTTCTTATTGTGCAGTCAAGTGCCGGGTTAGCTTACAATAAGACTCAAAACCAAGACCATAAGAAGAGGAACAAACTTCCTTACTATTTAAGACAACACATTATTATTAGATTTTTAGTGTAATTAAATTGTCGGATCTTTCAATAAGAGAAAGAGATCCTATTGAGTAATTCATAAATAAAAATCTACCCTCAAATGAGCGCCACATTAGCTATGCTCTATATCTTCTCCAAATGAAAGAAAAAAATGAGCACCACATTGTATGTTCACTTACACACTTCTCGAGGGCTTGTCCTACATGAAATGGGTCGGATAATTGCTAAGTCTTTCAAAATGGATCATAGACCCATTTCTTAAGCCATATTTGATGGGCTGAGTCATTATATGGATTAGCTATGTTTTTTTTTTTTCGGATTATCTATGTTCAGTAAATGTGTTATAAATGAATTTATAATGACAAAACCCAAAAAGATACGAGTGTTAAGTGGTTTCATAATTTACCGAAACCCAATCCACATTTGTAACTTTCTCTTTGCCCTTAATGAGAAAATAATAGACTCCTCAGACTATTCCAAGTTCAAAGAAGTCTTGGTGGGCTCGCAAGATGAGCCCGACTTCACCTTTATTAAAAATATTAAGACGGCTTCTTTTTTTCTCATTATTCTTTTATTTTTATTAATATTGTAAGTTTCGCCTGTTAGTTATTGGAGTATATCTTTCCTTGATTGCATTTGGCATTTTCATTTTTACATAATATTCTAATCTTAGTTCTTGTCATTACAATCCATTGTCGGTATAAATTATCTTATTAAACATCATACAGTTCATTTAATTAAAATTTCAATTCCTCCGCATTGTTTGTTGCTTTAATTTTATAAATTCACTACCAAGTACTAACTTTCTCTTACTCTTCACTGTGAATCGGTATAAAAATAAAAAATTCTATGCAATGCTTATAGTCTAAATAACGATTTTATCCAACTAACATATTTACATGAAGAGCTTAAAGTGGGTTAATTAGGTGGATACTGATTTACATAGGATGAATTAAATATAAAAGTATTTTAGTAAATGCGGTCGAGTACAGGTATGAGTTACTAACGGTGGAAATTCAACTTGAATTGTGGCAAGCTAAACTAAATCACCCCACGGTGCTCAACTTTGGCTACTTGATGAATAAGTGCTTGACTCGAGCGCTCACAGCTGCCTAGACACTTGACAATGATTTTGCTCATTTATGACGCTCGCAATTGCAAGAAAGTCCACCACATCTATGGTACGTAGGTGTTGCAGATTGGAGCACTAATGGCACCGGAGAAAACTTTATTTTGTGTTTTTCTTCATTTGGAATTGAAAAAGGACAAAAAAAACATAAAATAGAAAAACACAAAAATAGACTAAGACCAAAACCAACAAACAAACAGTAGTTTGATCTTGACAAAGAAGCAGAACCAATGACCACGATAAAGAAGGATTCACGAAGGAGTGAAGCTAGAGAACAAAGAGGCTCGACTTTTGGTAGACTTCACCAGCACAAGGATGTTTGCGACATGACTGATGAGGCCACAGAGAAAGGACAACTTCCTCTGACGACGAGGGAGAGTCCATCGACTCTCGAGATAGAGCTACCCTAAGAGACAACGTGAGCGACAAGCAGATGCCTGCCAATGAAGCACTGTTGATGACGAGGACTTGTTGCGGTTGCTCTCGACGATGAAAATACTCAAACGTTACATCTTTACTTTAATGAGTTACAATTAAGAGGTATTTATATCCGAACAATAAAAACAAGAAAGGAAGTAATCTAATCTAATAAGGATATTAGTTGTCCTAGGAGATAACGAAATGTCAAAAAAAATCCCTAACATCTAATAATATTTCTAACAATATCTTTTAATATTGAATTCTTTAATATTCATAAATATAAAGCCCATAAAAATGACGACATGGGGGAGAGGGATCCGGAAAATTTCGTGCGAAATGGGCAATTTCAAGAACCGAGAATTGCGGGGAGGAGGGGGAGGAAAACAAGGGATGGTACAGATTGGAAACAGGGAGCAGTCAAAGTAAACGATTATTGGTGGGGACGATTCTGTCTAGTGTTAACGTAAGCTACGGGACTGATGATGTTACTTACTCTGGGACACTTGTGTAGGGAATAGGAGCAGAAACGCGTCTGTCTGTCGGCTTTTCTTTATTTGTTTGCGGATTTTTCGGTGTCAATTTATGTTATGCTGGCCAGACCAAGAAAAATCAAACTTCAATGAATAGGATATGACTCGCTTAGGGGATTGGAATATGAGCTGTGGTTAGTGATGAAAATAGAGATTGTCAAGTAGTGCCCAAATCCAAAGGGTGGTTCAGTATTAGAACGATCCAACTATTGCGCTTCAAAAAACGAAGGATTTTATATTTGATCCATACTCGTCGCAGCCACTAAAGCCAAGATTGAATCAGAGATGGATTTGATTTTCATGGGAATGGGCCTGTTTTTGGGATTGGAGATTGTCGACGGACAAAAGGTTTTTGAGAATATCACAAATTCTCGATTAAAAGAAAATACCTTTCAGATCACTTGTTAAAGCTTGATAACTAATTGAAAACGAAAATTTTCTATCGACTGATAGTTGTTCTTTTGTTGATGTGTGCTTGTGTCTACTTGAGTGTTCCTCCTATATTAGTGATCTTGACTAGTGTGCAAATGATTCTTAATAGCAGACTCAATTTAATTTTATCGCAATTGTATTGTGGGTCTGCACTGGCATTGGGAACGTATTTGCAGGGGCTGACGTAGACGCAAGCTAATACCATGTCCAAATTTTCTTTGCTTTTCCACATTAAGTAATGTCATCTTGGACAAAGTCACAATCACATGCAAGATTCTCTTAGAATGAATGTCCAGTGATTACCGAGACTGATTTCCAAGTTTTGTTGGGAATATTTTTCAGCAGATACATAAAAGAGGTCTAATCGATCGAGTCGGTATTCATATTTGAATCGGACTAAACTTGAAAATTTAAGACTAGACACTTTATTCAGACTTGATCTCGTCAGACATCAACTTATTTGGATCGAGTTTGACTCGTGAATTATTTTTGTTAACTTGAAATGACTAAGTTTGATTCGACTCAGTTATCGTAAATGCGTATTTGTCATATCTTGATTCAAGCTTGAGCTCAAATTCGACTTTCATAAAATCTGAACAAATGAGGCTCAGACTTGACTCATTCCCGCACTTTGAACTCGTAAATAATCTAGGCGAGCTCGAGTAGCTTGATTGGTTTGCACATAAAGAAGCAATTAAAACCTGATTTCGAAGAAGCACGTGACAAAATGTTGGTAAAGCGCATAATCGTTTCAATCTTGAGTGTTGTGTATTTCATTCTAGTTGAGTTTTGTCTTCGAATGGGGTTAAATCTATTTTTAATCCTTCAATTCATAATATGTGCGATCAGGTCCTCGAGCCGGCAAGCCATTACCACTACGATGCAAAGTTGGAGTCCACCATGACCGCTTCTCCGAAGGTCAAGCCCATCGCTTCACATTTTCCAACCCTTACCAATGGTCGCTGGTGGGGGCTTCGGCCACCAAGTCGTCCGCCCCTTCTCGCATCTCTAGCTTTTCCACCTTTGTCTTCTACATTTGACTTTCTTATTTTTCTTAAACTAAAACTAGTTTCTTTTGATTTTAACATTATCGACTTTTACCTTTTTCAATAATTATAATAAAAAAATCATCCTAGAATACCACATCAAGGACTGAATTGAGAATAGGGTAGAGTTAGAGGAGTTGAATCCAAAAACAAAAAAAAAAAAAATTGGAGGATCCAATTCCACAAGCAACATAAGTTTGGGGACTAAAATTGAACTTAATCTTTTCTACTAGCAAGGGAACACCGGTTCGCTGGGGCCTACAAAAAATTATCAACTAATGGTAGAAGTCCTTAAATAATTGATAATGAGAACTGGAAAATATATTCGTAAAGTTCCAGCATTATAATGTAAAACTCTACCTACTGAAAACCAATAAGTGCCAATTTTTCTCATTAATCTCGACCAATATATTTTTTTAACATAACTATTTTTATAAATGAGGGTCATTTCAGTCTTTTTCTTGCTACATCAATACTTTACTCCTTTCTCAACTTTCTTTAAAGAAAGATTCCGTTTTTTTTTCCTAATTTTGGATATTATTATTAAGGCTAGGTTTAGTTAAGGGTGGGAAAATTACCAATTTAATACTGTACAGATTCCAGTGTAGTTCTAAAGTTTTCAATTGATTAAATGTAGCTCCAAAACCTCGCGCCAAATTCCAATGTACTCCTGCCCACCAATTTTCGCCTGAAAATGCTAACGTGGTATTCCAGTCATCGCCGGCCGTCCTATGAGCTCGGCCAGCGAGTGGACAAATTTATTCAAAATGACATCCTTTTGAGTAATTTTATTAATTTTTTGCTTTTTAAAATGTTTTTATTTCCTTTTTTTTCTTTTCCTTCCCTACTTTCCCTCTTCCCATTTCCTTTTTTCTTTTCTTTCCCATTAACACCAGATCTGAAACCCAATCCTCAAACTCTCCATCAATAACCCAGCATCACCACAATATTACATCCATATCAGCAGATATTGCGTAATAGTGGCATTTGCATAAACCATAAAGTTTTTATTTTTATTTTTCTTACGGATCATGAAAACTTCCAACCTAGCCTCGTTCATAAATTGCAAACATTATATTATTCTTGCTTACGGGGACATTATTCATCACCCACACAAGAAATGTGTTCAACGCCAAATCTGATGTCAGCATCGTTAGACTCTGTTCGCTTGCTTTGTTTGCCGTCGACCTCGACAACCTTGAGCTCCGCCGCGGCGACGAACTCGAGCCCCCAGATCTGGAGAGCTTGAGCTCCATCGCAGCACCGAGCTCGAGCCCCAGATCTGGCAGATCAAGCTACGCCATGGCATGGAGCTCCTAAAATTTATGCAAAAATTGTAACTGAGTATTTCCATTAGGTCCGACTGTTTTGACATGGTTTTTATTTTAATTTTTTTGCAGGACATGTAGAGCTCATATTGAGAGAGAGAGAGAGAGAGAGAGAGAGAGAGAGAGAGAGAGAGAGAGAGAGAGAGAGAGAGAGAGAGAGAGAGAGAGAGAGAGAGAGCTTTTTTATTTTTCACATTTTTTCTAATGTGTCGTCCACTTAAATCCCCATCAACGCCAAGTGTCACTAAGTATATTAAAGAATTCGAGTCAATTTTGTCATAGATATAATTAATTGAAATGCTTGATTGTAATGAACAATTAGCATGGGATTAATCTATATGAAAGTTCTAAGATTTATAGTTTCTATGAGTTTTAAGACTTTTTGATGCATTTATTTTCTAATATTATTTATTTTTCTAACAACATTATGGCATTAGGTTAAGACTTTTCCAATTTAAAAGCATTCCATCTTAGTTAAAACAATCCTCACTAAAAAAATTTCTTCATTTGCAATCTTTTAATTCCAAAACTCCGGGAAAATAGTTATATATTCTGTCGTATTCTTATTTCTACGCAATACACGGACCTACTTCTATTTCTCCTATTGGTAAGCAAGAGTTCTATTGATCAATAAACAAAACCATCTTTTCAATGGTGATGAAGAATTATGAAGAGAAGACAGAACGAAATAGTCTTTCTCAAGTTTAATAACTAAACCTTGGAGGAAATCTTCATGGACGCGAGTGTCTGAATAGCACTTTATCCCAGAATCGATAATAGGCAAACCTCCATGATCTGATAAACACTAACGAACCACAAAATACCCAAAAGCCAACGACAAACCCAAGCAGTATGCCCATGTAAAACCACTTCTTCTCGCTATCATCATTGTCGCCATCGTCACCAGCATCTTTCGTCCAGTTCGTGGTAATTGAGCAATTTCTGTTGAGCAGAAGCCCGCACAATCCAAGGTTTCCTTCGAAAGAACTTCTGGAAAACGTGAGAAACTGTCCGCTTGTCGGGATACTTCCTACAAGTTGATTGTTTGAGAGGTTCAGGGAGGAAAGGAAATTTAGATTTGCAAGCTGAGCCGGTATGGTTCCATTGAGGTAGTTGCCTGACAGGTCTAGCGACTCAAGCTGACCCAGATTCCCCAAAACAGGAGGAATTGTACCCGAGATGGCATTGTGCGATAGGTTGAGGACATGAAGTGCTTTGAGATCTCCAAGTGTGTCTGGTATTGCACCCTCCAATTTATTGCATGAGAAGTCAATCGATGTGAAAACAGTCATAATCTTGACGAGTTCTAGCTGAAAACCTTTCGAAGTTACACTTATTGTATCTTGATAATAGACCCCACTCAGTTGGGAAAACTGATACTGCAGACGATTGAAGTCTACATTGGCCTTCATAGCCGCCCAAGATGTGAGGAGACTTGTAGGCAGTGTTCCGCGGAAATCGTTTGAAGACAGGTCAATGATTTGAAGCATCTGCCAGGTGCTTGGACTATGCGGACATCTAATTTCCCCATGCAATTTGTTGGATCTTAAAACAAGGATACGGAGACTTGATATAGCCTCGAAATAGCATGGAAATGTCCCGTCTATTTGATTGTTCCCGATGTTCACAATCTCCAACATCGTGCATTTTGCCAACGACAACGGAATATGCCCTTGCAACAAATTCTCACTGATATCCAATGTCTTCAGATTGCATGTTCTCAGGATGTTTTGTGGAATATTACCATTCAACTGGTTATCCCTCAGATTCAATACCTTGAGGGACTCAATCATTAAACAATCAGGAATAGTTCCATTCAAATGATTATGCGATAAGTCGAGCACTTCGAGATTATTAAAATAACCAGCTGCGCAAATAGACTGCGGGATGGACCCATGGATATTATTCTTCGAAAGGGAGAAGAACATCATGTATGGTAGGTTGTTGCCAATGTCATCTGGAATAACAGAATTTATGCTGTTACTTGAGAAATCCAAGTAGTAAGCATATGCCGGCAAGGGTGGCATATTCCCTCGGAGCTTGTTTGAATGGAGGTCAACGAAAAGCATACTCATAGTAAGATTGCCCAGAGGTGTTTCCAAATCTTCAAAGAAATTAGAGGAAAGATTGAGATACGAAAGATTTGTTGGCGTCCATATCCATCGTGGTATTTTCCCTCGAATATAATTGTGGGAGAGGTCAAGGGATTCCAATTCGGACTGGTTAGCCAAAAACTGAGGCAATGTCCGCAACTGGCAGGAAACCATCTTTAAAGTTTTAATGACAGGAAATGAAGACGCCAGGGCAGTAGTGTTTGTGGCGTCAATCGAAAAATGATTGTAGGAAAGATCCAAATAGGAAAGGTTTCTCAGTTGCTGAACCAAATTAATGTGAAATGAGCCACTGAAATTATTGGAAGAAAGTGAGAGGTAGTTGAGCCCTCGGAGTTCCCATATAAACTTTGGCAGTCCTCCTCCTATATTGTTGTTGCTCAAATCAAGTGTATTCAGTTTGTGTGATTTGGTATTAATAGGTACCTTCACTTGACCAGAAAATCGATTGTCGGAAAGTTGAAGCTCCTGAATCAATGGAAGCTTAAATAGAGACGAAGGAATATTTCCTTCAAGTAAATTGAATTGTAGGTCGAGAATAAGAAGACTCAAGAGGGATTCCCATTGGGTTGAATCGATCCGACCAGTTAGATTATTGTAGGACAAAGTAATTTGTGTCAGATTCTTGGACTTGCTGAGTGATGGAATTGAACCACTAAAATTGTTGAATGACAAGTCCAAATAAGACAATCGCGAGAGATTGGTGAAAGAGCTTGGGATATTTCCATCAAAGTTGCATCGCTCCAATTCTATTCTTGATAGATTCCTAAGCTTACCAATTGAATCTGGGAGCCTCCCGGAAAAATTCGTGAAACTAAGATCCAGTGTCTGAAGAGAACTATTCTCCGGAAATATTGGCAAAGAACCCTGAAGCAGTTCGTTGAATGAGAGGTCAAGGGTCTGAAGTGTTTGTACCCGGAAGATTTTTTGAGGAAATTCCCCCTGTAGGCCACAATCACTTAGGCTCAGAGTTTTCAAGCTGGAAAATTTCGCTAAGATACTAGGATCTGTGGTAGACAAGTTGTTGTCATCGAGTCGAATGACCGACAGATTAGCCAGACTCATAAGAGAAGCGCTGATAGGACCATATAGAGAACAGGAAGACATGCTCAACACCTCAAGTTTCGGCACTGAAGAAGACAACGCGTCGCACCACTCACTTCCCTCAACAGACACATCGACCCCATCAAGGTACAGCTCTCTCAACTCCCCCATATCCCCAATCAGCGACCTCAAATGGGGCTTCTCAAGGACCAGCAAAGCCGATCCATAGTAATAAAGACTAGTGAGATCAAGAGTACGTAGCTTCGTCAGGCGCGATAGCTCCGCCGGAATCTGCCAGTCAAATCTAGCATTGGACAAGTTGAGATGTACCAAGCGGCTGAGATTCGCGAGGTCAGACGGAATCGCTGAGTAGTCGAAATCGTTGAACGCCAAGTTCAGGCTTTGAAGGAACTCGAGCTTGAAGAGGCTCGACGAACCGTTGATTCCGCCAGAGATCGACTCACTACTCAAATCGAGTCCCACGACGAGCCCGTCCTTGCACGTCACGCCACTCCATGAATCAGCGCTTCGGTTCCACCATACTAGCTTGGAGGACTGGGAGGCGTTGAAGACGAGGCTGTCTCTCAGCTCGAGCAAGAGCGATCTTTGGTCGATGCCGGGACACCGGGCTGAAGCTGAAGCCGTAGCAACATCGGAGAAGATGGAGATGGTGGATATAGAAAGAACAAGCCATGAGAAGATGGAAGTGTTCATCGGAAGAGGTTGAAGAAGAGCGCTGGAAGTGGGCAAGGGGAAGAGGGAGTGGAACGAAACAAAGTTGACACTTATTATGGAGTTGTCGTCGTTCGAAGTCAGTGCTAGCTGGTGTCGATTTTCGGGATGTTATTGGTCACTAAATTTGGACTCATCTCACTTTCGAAATTACTAGCAAAAATCGCGCATTCCTTTGCAACAAAATTACATCCTTTATTTAATATAATTTTTCAATAGAAAAAAAAACCATATCTTTATTTTCTAAGAAAAAACGAAAAAATAAACAAGTCCGCCTAAAATGTGGAGATTAGAACTTGACATCTCTTTTGAAAATGCTGTTTGCTCATCTTATTTTACATCATCAAACAAATGACAAATGACGAATCAATTTTTTCTTTGCGCATACATTAACGATGTAGAAATTTGTTAAACGTAAATAGATACCTAGCTTTTCGCGGTAACATCAAAATGCATCTATCATATCCTTTTTTTTATATTAAATAAGTAGATTCAAGAAAAGAAATAAAATGATTTATTAACGTTCGAATGCAACTTCATTACAGAATTTGTGAGTGAACACATAGGAGGAGGAGTTGCGTTCTTATTGGAAGGCAGACGAACATGAGCTTCCTTGGACAAGAGTTGTGCGTTTTGGTCCCTATGCGCGACTATCTTAAGTTGACTTGACTTGTGGTGGGTTTTAGTGGTTCTATGATTGTGGATGCAAATTCTTGAATGATCTCGCTAATAATGTCATGTTCGATATTGGCTTGAGTTACTTGACCGACCGAGTAATTCGGTCGAGTGGCGAGATACCACCAGAATAAATGGCGCGTGAGGTGGACAGAGATCAAGTGCGAGGACTTTGGCAGCCCTTGGTCCTTCCTTACGGCAACTGCTGCTTGCACTATCTGTCTTTTTCCTCGTTAACGTGTTTGTTCACCTTGACTAGAGAATGCGAAATTGTCGTTTCAATGGTGCTTTCCGATGGGCTGATTTCTAAAATTCTATCTCCGACAAAAACGGAATTTTTTCTGTGCACGTCAAACACGTAACGCCTGTACCGGCATTCAATTGAACCACGTAAACCTTTTGTTCTCGTTCTTTGTTGATTTCTCTGGTAAGCTTCAATTAAGGGCGATTCATGCTCGAGCAATATGTGCATGGAAGAAAGTGCTCTAATCTAACAAGACAATTAGTTATCTTAATCTAGCAAGGAAACTAGTTGTATTAGGAACTAACAAAATGTCAAATAATAACCCTAAAATCTAATAATATCTCCAATAATATTTTTTGATAATTCCTCAAATATCAATAAAGATACTTAGAACAAAGCCCATAAACATGATGATCCGTGAGCGAGGGATCTAGAAAAATTTCGTGCAAAATGGGCAATTCAAGAACAGAGAATTGCGGGTAGGAGGAGATAAACAGGGGATGGTTCAGATTGGATCAGAGAGTAGTCAAAGTAAACACCTGGTGGGGATAATTTTGTCCGATGTCTACGTTATTGTGGGACTGATGATGCTACTTTCTGGACTCATGTGTGGGGAACATAATCAAACTTCAATGCGATGGGATAGGACCAGCTTTGGGAATTGGAATCTTAGCTGGTCAATGATGAAAAGAGAGATGGTTAAATGGTGCCCAAATCCAAAGTTTGGTGTTTGAACAATTGAGATTTGCGCATCAACAAGCGTGAGTTATGCTTGGTCCACAACCGTCGCAGCCACTAGAGCCAAGATTGAATGGGAAATAGATTCGGTTTTCATGTGAATGGACCTATTTTTTTATTGGATCAAAGATGAGTTCAGTGGATGTATTAAAGGTTGCTGAAAATATCACCCGATCCCTATTAAAATAAATTACCTTTCGATCACTTATGTTGTACTTGTATCGGGGTGTATAAGGGGAATGTAACTGCTAGGCTGACTTCCGTGGTGGTAGATCTAAAGTAATTTACCATGTCCAAATTTTCTTTTGTTGTCCCCACCAAGCAATGTCATCTTGCACAAAGTCACGACTATGTGCTAGATTGCCCTCAATTGAATGAATGTCCATGGAAAAATTGTTCAAAAAATCCTAAACTTATTGCACTTTTGCCAATTTAGTCATAAACCTTTCAATTTTGCTAATTAAGTCCTAAACATTTTCACATTTTTTCAATTGAGTCTATCCGGTCAATTTTAGTTTGAAATCGCTGACATGGAAACTAGGCATTCTAAATGATGCGATCGGCGCTTACGTGAATAATGTTTATAATTTTTTAATTTTTTTTAATTTTTTTCCTACATTCTTCCTCTTCTAGCCAGTCGCCGGCCTCTGGCAAAGCTCGCCTGCCAGCCACTGGCGAGGGCAAGCCTCACCCGCCCCTAGCAAGGTTGAGGCTCGTCTGGCCGGGCTCGTCTGATCGGTTGTCGACCATTGCCAACGCCCATTGACTGGCTAGAGGAGGAAGAAGGAAGAAAAAGAAAGAAAGAAAGAAAGAAAATAATAATAAATAAATTCAAAAAATATTAAAATATTATTAAAAATTGTCCAAGTCAGAGTCGGCCGTTCTACGTGGCATGACCGACATCCACGTCAGCAATTTTTGGTCAAAATTGGTCGAATGGATTCAATTGACAAAAAGTGAAAATGTTTAAGACTCAATTGGCAAAATTGAAATGTTTATTATACAATTAACAAAAGTGAACACTATTGACTTTCACCTTTATGAATAATTAAAAAGTATTATCTTAGCATATCACATCAACATATTAAGAATTATTTAAGAAGGACTTGATTGAGAATAAGATAGAGTTACAGGAGTTGATACCCAAAAAAATTTGTTTTTGAAGAATCCGATTGCATAAGCAACATAAGCTAGGAACTAAAGTTCTGTTTATTTAGCAAAAAATGTGACATTTTTGTAAAATATTTTCTAGAAAGTCATTTTCTAGGAAAATGACAATATTTTTCATTTTTTTGGCTAACACGTTTGGTAAGGAAAATCTCATTTGATTGAAAATTACTGACTACATGGCACAGCCGTGCTGACATGGACAATTTTTGTAATTTTTCTAAAAAGATTTGAATTTTTTAATTGAATTTTTTCCTTTCTTTCTTTTTCTTTTTTTTTTCCTCCCTCGGTCGCCGGGCCTCGGCAACTGGCCACAGGCAAGGGCCGACCTCACCGGCCTCAGGCGAGCTCAACCTCGCCATATCCGGTGAGGTCGAGCCTCACCCAAGGCCAACCCACGCCTGTGGTCACTGTGGCTAGTAGCTAGCCATTGCTGAGGCCTGATGACCGGCGGAGGAAGAAGGAAAAAGAAAAACAAAGAAAAAATATATATAACATGAAAATATTTTAAAATTCGAAATTTTTTAACATATTTTGGCCTCGATGGACCCGGGCATGAGCATCAATGACCTAGAATCAACCTCGATACTACTGGGCCTGGCGTCTCGAGCCTAGCCATGATGGACCCAAGCGCGATAGCTAGGGTCTCGGGCGTGACCTAGATGGACCCGAGCTTGGGCGCTGGAGTCCCGGGCCCGACCTCAATGGACGCAGGCTCGGGCGTCAAGGACCTGACCTTGCTATTAAGGGCCCGAGAACGAGCGTTGGGGTTCCCATGCTCAAGCGCAGAGTTTTTTGTACAAGTACCGATACTTAGTCATATTTTGGAAAATGATTATTGATTTTTTAAAGAAGATATCATTTTCTTGAATTTATTAGTAAGAAAACATTTTCCTAAGCGATCCAAACGCCAAAAAATGAGAAAAATATTTTTTGCGAAAGAAACATAGCTTAAATCTTAAATTTAGGAAAATAATTTTCTCTTTAAATTCCGAGAAATGCATCTATCATATTGTTTTTTCTCATTAAACAAGTAAATTCAAGAAAAGAAATAAATTAAGTTGCTTACATTTGAATGCAACTTCAATAGAGTTTGGGAGGGAACACATCCAAGGAGTAGTGTTTTTATTGGAAGGCAGAGAACACGAACTTCCTTGTACGTGATTTCAATGGAGCGGTGTTTGGTCTCATTCATATCACGTCGCCTAATAAATTTTATGGTCCCCAAGAGCGATGACTTGACTTGGGAATGTAAATCCATCAAATCACACGGGGTTGAGCCAACGGTGGCCTTCAACGGTTCTTCACTATCGATGCAAATTCTTGAATGATCTTGCTAAGAATGTCGCGTACAGATATCGACTTGAGCTACTTGACCATGTAATTCGGGCGAGCGGCCAGATACCGCCGGAGCAATTGGTGCGTGAAATGGGCGGGGATCAAGCACGAGTTCTTTGGCTGCCCTTGGTCCTTCATGACGCGGCTATTGATACTTTTAGCCAGTGTCCTTTTACCCTCGTTAAGACCACCTTCGCTGCAAACTTGACTTGACTGGAGAACACAGAGTTGCCGTTTTCGTGGTGGCTCCCCGATGGGCTGACTTCTAAAGTTCCGTTTACGACGAAAATGGAATTTATTCTGTCCGTGGCAAATACATGACGTCGTTGTTAGTAAATTTAAAATATCAATGATAGCAATAGGTAATTTGTTAATCTGATTAACTATTTATAAACCGTTAACGAAATAACAATTTTACTATCAACAAATCGAATACTAGATTACCACTTTATATTTTACAAGCGGATGCATAAGTATTTGTAAGTTATCAATGAAATAACAACTTTACCACTCACAAAATCTAATAATAAATTACCACTTGGTTTTTTATTTTAAAAATGTACGCGTAAGTGCTTGTAAGCTACCATTGAAATAACAATTTTACCACTCTCAAAACCCAATAGTAAATTATCACATATACAAGTGGGCCCATAAGTGTTTGTAAGTTACCAGTGGACTAAAAATTTCCCCATCTGCAAACCCAGTTGTATATTACTCCTTAGGGACAAGTGTACCAGAAATTGTAAAACTTATCGCGAAAGTATAATTGAGTCCTAAAACTTTTAAAAAGTGCAATGAAATCTTAAAACTTGTCAAATCT